AACAAACAAAGGCCAAAAATTTTGAAGAAAAACGATAATTTTTACTTTCAGCTATAAAAAATATATAGTAAACTCAAAGTTAGTTATAAATTTAGGCCAAAATGTATTCTGCTCCATGTTTTTGGTAAAAAAAACTCCCAATAAGTGTATATTGATTGCTTTGTGTGAAAGTTATAGCGTCTACAAACTATGGTATGGATACTGCAATTTATGCCATTTTTTTGCTATGCTGTGCTAGTTTAACGGACAATTGCGCGGTCATGCAATACGGTACATAAATGAAATTTACATCCTTTTTTTCCCCACAAATTGAGCTTTCTTTTGGTGGTATTTGATCGCCTGTGCAGTTTTTATTTTTTGCGCTATAAAAAAAAAAGGCTGACAATTTTGAGGGAAAAAAAAAAACAATATTTTGGACTTTTTGCTATAAAACATGTCCAGTAAAAAAAAAATTTAAAAATCAAATTTAGTCATAAATTTCTGCCAAAATGCATTCTGCGACATGTCTTTGCTAAAAAAAACCCAATACATGTAAATTAATTGGTTTACATGAAAGTTATAGCGTTTACAAATGGCGGGGAAAGATACTGGGATTTTTAGTTTTTTTTTTTTTACTAATAATGGCGGCGATCAGCGACTTATAGCGGGACTGCGGCGGACATTCTGACACTGGGGGGTACTGACTTGGGGTCACTGACATTCCCAGTGACACCAATACAGTGATCAGTGCAAAAAAAAAAAAAAAACTGACACTGTACTAATGGCACTGGGGAGGAAGGGGTTAAGTTTATTATTCAGGGAAAGGGTTAACTGTGTGAGGGGAGTGTTTTTACTAGGGGGCGGGGGTGTGTACTGCAGGGAACACCGCTGATCAGGAGAGAGAAACTCTGTCCCGATCAGCGTGTCCTGGAGCTGTCAGGGAACTGACAGAAAGCACAGCTACTACAGCTGTGCTCTCTGTCAGCGATTGGCGCCGATCGCCGGGACATAGTCGGTAACGACCGGCTGTGACCCGGTGACTGACATCCGCGGCTGTGATCGGCGGGACAGGTAGGGTGGGTCGCGCCTCGCGCGCACCCCCCCTACCTGTTTTAAAAAACACACGTTTTAAAACGTGTTTTTGCCCAGCCGTGCCGCCCTGCCGCCGTATTTCTACAGTGGCTGGGCAGCATGTGGTTAATCTTATAAGTACAACTTAGTTGATTTTATGCAATTTTAGGCTTTGGATATACAAGTGACAAGAGTTTATATTACAACCTAGATGTTACATCTGCCCTATTTGATGTCTGCACATAAACAGGTAAACTATATGACATTATTGTGGAGTGTGGCTTGTATAAACAATACACTGAGTTTGAGCACTTTAATGAAAATAACTTGATGTTTCAGGACATTGATTTCTATTAAGGAGGTGAAGATGGAATATTATCTGCTAGAAATCAGACGAGTAGAAACAATACATGACATTTTCCTCTAGGGTAATAGTGATTGAAATTCATCCTGACAAGCACACAGATGACAAGATTCAGTCAAAGAAGCAATGGGTGACTCATAAATTGTAGTGGCACGTTCTCTCTAAGGGCCATCGTGTTCACCAGTGCCTAAAATATTATACTAAAGATAAGACGTGATGCATCACTGCATTCAAGTTTTAATATCTCCAATATCTTTGGCAAAGAGTGTTTTAAACCCATATTTATTGCTTTTGAAAATAAGCTTTGTATTTAGTTTATTATCATTGTCACATTTGTATCACTGGAGGCAGCAGAGACAGTACAATTAGGTACTGCTTTTCATCCTGAGCCATATTTGACCTCTTGTGACAAGTTAAAAATCAGTTGAATTAATTTCCCTCCATTATGTCATACTCTACATGGAGCCTAGTTTTTAGTGATATAATAAATACAAACAGGGGCGGACTGACAACTCATGGGGCCCCCGGGCAATAGGGGATCATGGGGCCCCTGTGTCCTCACCCACACTCAAACCACACCCAAAAAAGCCTATGAAAAGGTACTAGGGGCATCTCATGGGGCCCCATACTGACCTCGCGCACTGCCAGAGTTCCCAAATGGTCAGTCCGCCCCTGAATACAAATAAATCACATTAAAACTATTTGTAAACCCAAACACTAAATCTTATGTAAGCTTTTTTTCACGTTAAAAAAAACCCAACTTTATTAAAGCAAAAAATAATCAGATGTGACCATCAATATTGCAGTGTTATCATTACAAGTACAACTTTTGCCAATTTACATATCAGGTTGAATGACCAGTAGTATCACTAAAGCAGGCCACAGACGGGTCGTTTATCGTCCGAATTTTCGTCCAATTGAAAAAGCGGCTCATATTCACACCGTTAGTGGGGTAATGCCTTTGGCCGTTTTTCGTGAATCTTCTCATTTTTTTTTTATCGGTCATGCTATAAAGTCTACAAAAAACAGCCGTTTTTCATAAGCATTGGTGGCATCATCCATGGCAGCAATGACCGATTTTTCATTTATCGGCCGACAATTCGGCCGATAAACGGCCCATCTATAGCCAGCCTTAGCTCTGTGCCTGTACATCCAACAACAATGTTTCTTGATGTGTGGTCATCTCCTGCAGTCTATGAGGGTGATGGGGGAGCCGCAAGTGGTTCCATGCACCCGGCACCGGATGTCTCTCCTGATTTCCTTGGGAGGGATTTTGGCCTTGGAGATTAGCGGAAGTACAGTCCACTTTTTCCAATGCCCGCCCTTGTGGTGGCTTGGTGCCGGTGGCACACCTCCATATACCACTCCGGGACTTCCGAGAACCCAGCTGGGAAACCAAACATAAGGCAAGCACACATCGTGTTATGACGCCGGAAGTGATGTTACTACGTGGCGCTTTGATTAAACACCAACCATGGATAGCTCACTGTAAGTGTAATCATCTTTTGGATTGACTTTCTAGTCCCCTCAATGAAGAGGAATATTACGTACAAATTCTAATATTGATTTATGCCATATATAATTAAATGAGTTTACTGCTCAGGAGATATAGAATTTATTCTATCTTAAACTTGATGTGGTAGTATAATTTCCCCTCCTTTTTACAACAATGGGCAGTGAGGTTTCAGAGGTCCTTGTGTATATTCCATCGGGGCACTGGCAGCAACTGTCTATCGCTCCATGGCTGCAGGAGATGGCCTTCATATCTAACAGAGTTTGATGCATGTAAGAAATTTTCTTATTGGGAAATAGTTCACGATTATTTGTTGTAATATGTTTGTTATAAGAACCTTGTATTGCAGAGTGGTATAATTCCCTGAGGAAGGAGCTATCGGAAAAAGCTTTGAAATGTGTTTGGATGCCCCGGCCTAATCAATGGTTAAAAGCTAACAAATTGTGTTATTGTGGACATATTTTGTATATGTATTAGCTGGGGATATCACTGCATAGTCCATGAGTTGTCAGTCCAGGGGCGGACTGACAACTCATTGGGCCCCGGGCAATAGGGGACCATAGGGCCCCTGTGTCCTCGCCCACACTCAAATCACACCCAAAAAAGCCTATGAAGAGGTACCAGGGACATCTCATGGGGCCCCCTACTGCCCGAGTTCGAGTTCTCCAATGGTCAGTCCACCCCTGACTGCGACTCAGAGGAAAGTGGTCCGACACCCAGCCATTACCGAAACTCTCGCTATAGATGATTGATATAGTAGTTGTACCCATTTGATGAACCTTGGACCAAATCCATATCTCATCAAACACTCCCAAATGCCATGTCATGCCACCAAATCAAATACCTTAGCAACGTCTAAAGCCACTATTACTGTAGTACCAACATTGTTGTGTGTAACTTGGATGTTCATGTATAAATGCCTGATGTTAATAGCTGTATTCAAACCGGGCATAAAGCTTTTTTGGTTAGGGTGTACCAGGGATAAAATGACTTTGCCGAGGCGGGAAGCTAGAATATTAGCTAGAATCTTGATGTCAACTTGTAATAATGAGATAGGACGGTAAGAGTCGGGGAGTGAGGGATCCTTTTCAGGCTTTGGGAGGACCAAAATTATGGCTTCCCGCTTTGTGGGGGCAAAGTAGAAGTATTGAAAAGGACGTTGTAGAGCAGAGATGTATTGTTGAGGAGCATTTCTGTCCCCAGCAGGTTGAAAGAAATCTGAGGGTTTGTTTTGCTAAGAACTGGGCTGATGGGGTCATTTCAGTTAAAGTTTCTGGTGGTAAAATAAAATAAAGCAGTAGACAGCAGTGTTTGCCATGTCATGTGCACTAATGCTTGTAGTTTAGGCAACAAGCTTTGTGAGCTGACAGCTCTTATATCTAGGGACAACTTGGACCTTGTTGCAATTACAGATACGTGGTTCAAGGATTTAAATGACTGGGAAATAACTATGCCATGGTGTACACTATACAGGAAAGACCGTATGGAAGAGGGGAGTTGAAGTTGCCATATATCAAAAATAGCATAAGGCTAACATTAATTTAAAAACCAAATGAGATATTTGAAACCCACTGGGTCTGCCTTCCAACCAGACAGGGATCTTCCCTTAGAATTGGTGTAATATACAGACCCTCAAGACAGACTGAAGATTATGATAACTTGTTGATTGACAAGATAACTCAAATGGCAATGAAGGGGAGGTTTTGATTATAGGTGACTTTAACATGCCTGACATTAAGTGGAATTTTTAAACTGCTATTACAAGTGGGAGCAGATGTAATGGAAGCACTGAATGGACTTTCTCTAAAACAGTTAGTAAAAAGTCCAACCCTAGGTGATCATATTCTAGACCTAGTACTGACAAATGGGGATCAACTGTCTAATGTTGAGGTGGGGGAAAATTTGGGTTCTAGTGATCACCAATGTCTTTGGTTTGATATTAAAATGACAACTGAAAAATCATATCCAAAAACAAAAAAGTTTTAGATTTCAAAAAGACGAATTTTGCTGAAATGGGCGAATTTCTAAAAAAGTAGTTGAAAGGTTGGAGTAAGTAATCAGTGGGCACTGTTAAAGTGTTACTAAACCCACAACAGTAAAATCAGTCTGTATATGCAGTAATGCATGCTTTTATACTCACTGTGGAACCTAAGGGGTTAATCTTCCACATTGTGTAAAAAGGATGTTTGATCCTCTCTTCTCTGATCCTCCTCTTCTTCCAGCATCTCCCAAATATCTCCTGATAGAACAGAGGCTAGGGGCAAGCTGCACATGCTTACTTTGCCATGTGATCAGTTCAGGGCCAATCAGTGCTGTCCAGACAGAGGTCAGAGGTCTACAGGAGAATGAAAACTCCTCCTACCAGCTGTAACCAGTGCTCTGCTGGACACTGATAGAAATCACAAGACTGCTCTAACTGCTGATGAGAAGAGGTATTTAGAAGTTTATATTTACTAAAACTTTACTAAAAATTTATTAGTTGCATTTCCATGTTGTGTGTACTGTGGGAGACCAGATATAGTGAATGCAGGATCCTGGGTTTAGTAACCACTTTAAAGTCTACCATCCTGGAGGCAACTAGATTATATGTCAAGTAAGTTAGTAAGAATAAACAGAAAAAAAAAACAATATGGTTCACTTAAGAGATAAGTAGAAAAGTAAAGGAAAAAAATCAGCATATAGGAGATTCAAGGAAACAGGAGGTGCAGCTGACAGAGAAGAGTATAAGAATAGACAAAAGGAAGCCAAACACATTATCAGTGCTGCCAAATTACAGAAAAAGGAGGAAATTGCTAAATCTATTAAGAAAAGAGATAAAACCTTTTTTAGGTACATTAGTGATAGAAAGAAAAAATACGATGGGATCACTAAAATGAAAACTGGGCACAACACTTATATTAAGGAAGACCACTTAAAACCACTTAACCACAAGCCTACAGGGCACTTATACCCCCTTCCTGCCTAGGCCAATTTCCATCTTTCAGCGCTGTCGCACTTTGAATGAGAATGGTGAGGACGTCATATGACGTCCTCCCAGAACGAGAGAACCATCTTGCATCCGTCATATTACTATATGGCGGGCGGGAGGTGGTTAAACCACTTAAACAATTACTTTTGTTCAGTCTGCTTAGGAATAAATTATACCAACAATGATAAGTTGGGAAATCAAATTGGTTCTACTAATGATGGTTCATTTTTAGGATTTCCAGAGACAGAGCTAGTAGAGGAACTGGCTTGGTTAAAGATTAATAAAGCAATGGTATTCATCACAGAGTTCTAAGAGAACTTTGAGGTATAGATGTTGGACCATTAACTGATATTTTTTTTTAAATCTCTTCTAACAGGAGAAGTTCCCCGTGACTGGTGGACAGCCAGTGCTGGTTCTGTGGACATAGCATATCTTGACTTCAGCAAGGCATTTGATACAGTTCCGCATAATGATCTAATACAAAAGTTGTACAAGATAGGACTTAGTCCTGGGGTGTTTCAGTGGATATGCAGCTGGCTAAAGGATAGATACCAGAGTGTGGGTGTAGATGGGGTTCACTCAGAACAGAGACCGGTCACTAGTGGTGTACCACAAGCTCTGTACTGGGTCCTGTTTTATTTAATCTATATATAAGTAATATAACTAAAGGTTTGTTGGGTAAGGTATGTCTTTTTGCTGATGACACAAAGGTGTGTAATAGGGTTGATATCCCTGGAGGTGTCTGTAATATGGAACATGATTTGGCATTGCTGGAAGATTGATCAAAAAAAAGTAATACTTGGACCCATGCAATGAAGACCTCCCCAAACCCAAATTTGCGCATAACAGCCCAAAGGTAAGCCCATTCAATGCTATCAAATGCCTTATGGGCATCAAGGGACAGTAAGGCTCGATCTCCCATATTATCCGCTCTTGACTGTATATTTAGAAATAGTCTGCATATATTAATAGCCATAGATATTTGGGGCATAAACCCAGATTGATCTGAGTGTATAATAGAGGATATGACCTTTAATCTAAGGGCTAGGACTTTAGCCAAGATCTTCACATTGCTCTGAAGGAGTGATATGGGTCTATACGATCCAGAGTCTATCGGGTCCTTACCCGGTGCAATATCAGGACTATATTGGCCCTGGTCATGAAAGCTGGAAGGCAACATCAGTCTTTTGCATCATTAAACACTTCAAGTAAATGTGGTAATATAGTTTCTGAATAGTATTTATACACTTCTATGGGTAGGCCATCCTCTCCTGGGGCCTTTGAGTTTGGAAACTGACTGGTCGCCAGCTGGAGCTCCTCCAAAATCAGAGGGGCATCCAGATGCCTTCTAGAGGCCTAAGGGATGGCAGTGGTATAGTACATAGGTACTCAGCGAGGAAGTCCACAGTAATTTTGTTTAGACTGATACAAGGTAGAATATGTACAAGTTCAGCCATTATATGATCTGAAGAATTAGTAACTGACCCCTCATCTGTACATAGAGCACCGATGGAGGGGAATACCTGATGGGAATGTGCTATTTTAGCCAAAAGGCAACCAGTCTGCTCTCCTTCCTCATAAAAGGTCAATCTGTGGAAGAAGCATTTTTGTTTCGCAGATAAAGAGGTAATACAGCCATACGATTCTTATGCTGACAGCCAAGCCTTCCTTTTCATATCGGAGAGATCTGCTTCAAACTGTTCACCAACTGTGCTGCCCTATCCCTTTCATTAGTAGCATGTTTAATAGCTTGAATCCCTGAGATGAAGAACCCATGAAGGAAGGCCTTAAAAAATTCCCAAGTAGTGCCAAAGCAAAAGGAACCTGCATTATTGGTCCAAAAACCAGATATCTGTGTAATTCTATACGATCAGTGGATGGGAAAGGGTGCAGCCAAAAGGCATTGAGTTTCCATGGGGCTTTGGGCAAAGTAGAGGGAAAGTGAGCCTTCAATTTGACTATCAGAGGGGAGTGACTGGATATACCTCTGAGGGCATATGAAATATCATGGCATACCATTCAGCAAGCAAAGAGATCTCTATACGGGACAAGGATAAATAGGATCTAGAAAAACAGGGAAAGTGTGTTTCCCCTAGGTGACTGTGACGCCAAGGATCAATCCAGCTCACTTCTGCAGTAAATTAAGATAGGGCAGTACGGTGACAGTGTTCTCTTGCAGTAGCAGGGGGGTGTTTTTCTAAGGCTGGATAAAAATACCCATTGAAGTCCCACATTATAAATAGGAGTACATCTGAGTGGTGGAGCTGGTACTTTAGCACAATTTGCAGGATCAATCTATTAAAAGGTGGTGAGATATAAATAAATGCCAAGATACATTTCAAAGTGAATAAGCGGCACAATAATATAACATATCTACCCTCATCATCTATGACATGGTCGAATTCCAGGAAATCTAGGGAGCTGTACCAGTTCACTCCCGCCCCGCAAGTAGGTAGTTTGAGTGGAGTGTTGCCCACCCATGCAAAGTTCAAACAAGATATGGAGTCAGGTGTAAGATGTGTTTCTTGCAGGGCAAAAATGGCAGGTAAGTGCTTACTCGGGGAGGTAGACACCACGGTACACTTCAAGGGATCATGCAGTCCCCTATTGTTCCATGACACTATTGGTACCGTAGTCATAGCATGAGTAGAAGCAAGTATATAACAGGATAATACAATGATGTTGCAGCCAATCAGGGATCATAGGGATGGGTAGTATACTGGCTGAAGGGTAAGTGGCTGGTATCATTCCATCAAGGTACAGTGCAGGTCTACCTAGAGTTCCAAACGGTCTATGTCAGGAATGGACTTGCCAATAGTGGTGGGACTCACCTGCCTTGTGGGCTGCAGTACCTTGGTGTGTGTTTTTCCATGGGCCCCTGTACCTTGTAACCTTCATTCCTGTTTCTGCCTGACTTGTTGCCGACCCTGCCTGATCCTGACCTCGGCCTGCCTGACTACGTTGTGCTCTATATGTGTATGTACCTGTGTATCTTTATCAGTTTAGGTTTGTTTCACCTTGTTGTATGTATTTGTGTTAGCTTGGGGTTTGGTGCACTGCGTTTGTTTGTATTGTTAGTCTTAATAAATTGTCTTATTTATACCATATCTGAAGCCTGCGTTTCCCTGTGTCAGTCCACACATCTCTGGTCACACCCGCATCCCTGACAGTCTATGATGCAGATGATTAAGTGCTCTGGAAAAAATGACCAAACTGATTGAGTCAGTGAGCGCAACGGCACTCCAACATGTATGGTCAGATAGTGATTGAAGACATCATGTACCAATAGATCAAACCTGAACCAGGAGATCCATAGTGTAGTACCAGTGCAACATATACAGGTGTAGGATATTTCTGAGGACTGTAGAAAAACTGACAAGTAGAGAACAACGAGATACCACGGAAATATATCACAGCATTTTGCTGAAAGGAGCGTTGAAAAATAAACCATAAAATGCAAAAATTGGCAGCGCATGTGTTCCCTATGGCAGAAGTGCAAAATCAAATTTATAAGTGATGTTGCACAGAACGTCTGCCCTGTAGCAGTAAATCTGCTATAGGGCAGACGCCAAGTGGTTAAAAACCAGCTATACCGGGCTGTTTTGATTACATTCTGCTGTCAGTGGGGAGGCCGTCTGACAGCAGACGAGTCATAGTTGTTAAGGACACGGCGGCTGGCTGTTCCTTAACAACAAGCGACCCACAAATCAGTTTTGGATCATTTGGTACTTGAAAGAAATTAATGAATGTCTGTTTCGTTATAAATTATTTTATTTGTTGAAATTCATTAATATTGTTATTTAGATATTTGGATACATCAGAATCTCCGAATAAAGAAAATTTCAAATTTCAATACATAACTAAATTAATCGCATTTATTTATTTGTATGGCAGGCTGAACACAGCACCTGTGGCTGCCTGGGCACAAGAAAACACCCGTAATATTATGCACAGCATATTTTCAGCCTCTCACATCTGTATGCATGAGACCTTATTGGAGATCAAGAAGTCCTACTTCCGGCACAGTAATTTGCATAACAAGATGTTTGTTAAACTGCAATGTTCTGCAGGAAAAAAAAAAATCAATATATGGAGAAACAGAACTGGTCAAAGTATCTATACTTGCAATGATAGGGCACCCTGGCAGATTAACCCAATCTTTAGGTATCTCTGGTAAGTGGAAAAAGTATGGTGCATTCTATTAATTTAATTCTATCAAAGTGTTTGTAGACCAATAAAATCAAAATGTAAATGATCAGTCTACCTCACACTCAGCTCATCTATGAGGAAAGAATAGAGGAAC